TAACAAATGAACATTACTAATTAAGTATTTTTATTTTTTCTTCCTTCCTATTTTATATTATTATAACAACACATTTTTCTTACAAGATATTAAAATTAATATAATTAATATGGAGTATACAAAATTGTAATCGTGTTACATGGGATTACAGGGTTCAAAATTTAGTGTACAGTCAAACCCTCGTTACAACGGGATCTAAGGGACCACTGACCACCTTTCGACTGTAGTTTGTAATTTTTAAAAAAGGAATTCCTTGTCATTAATTTTTTTAAAGGAAATTAATCCTTTAATTAATTAGTGATTGTCATATTGCATCATATTGCATGTCAATAATAAAATATTGAATGAACTTTACATTCATCAAAGTTGATCCTGATTTCCATTACCTGACAAACGGGAGGAATGGTGTCAGAATTTCATATGTTTTGGTGCTAAGTGGAAATTTTTTTGCCTTTGGAATCCTATCTTTCGTATAATTATTTAGATGGATATGTCTATTTGATTATTTTAATCAAAGATCAGTATTAAAATAAACAATAAACAAACAATTTTACCCCAAAGATTTACAAGTAACAAATTTTCTAAAATAAATCAATACAAACAATTGATAGTTGTCCAATTGCTAGTAACAACCTTTTCCAAGTTTCTAAAATAAATCAGTAAACAAACAATTGATAGATTATTTATCATTATTGAAAAGAAAAGTGAAATTATTAGTTAATGAAAAACTAATACAACCAAATATTACAACAAATAATTTTAATTTTCGCATGTATAAAAAATTTTTGCCGATCATCACTTTGCCACAACGGATTTCTTGTCATAACAGATTTTTTTGACCATGAATTCGTTGCGGCGAGGTTTGATTGTAATGTATTAATTATATTAATTATCTTCAAGTAAAAATTACAGGAAGCTCCCACATTTTTGTTAAAGTAAAAAGAAAGTTGATATAACTTCTACGAAGAACAGGTAGAACAAATGGTATATGTAGAGTAGATGGAGATATATTGGTATCTTGTTATTGATTTCCCTCAACTCATCTAGTTGTTTTCAAAAATTCTATTTTTAAATTAGAATGTTTTTTAACGCTCTAAATTTACATACGAATAAAACTAATACCACTTACCTTGAGAGCTCATGAGCAAAGAATTAAAAATAATTTGGCATTTAATAATTGCTTAGCTACGTAGCTGATCATTATATAAATCACATGACTACATTCTACCCTTAAACGCCTCAAATGATTATCGTGATTCATATATTATTAGTAAGCCACACACAAATTAATAGATCTTTTAATCTTTTAATAATTAAAAAGTATGAGTACTTTTGGCAATATTTTTCGCGTGACAACCTATGGTGAATCTCACGGGAAGTCTGTTGGTTGTATAGTGGATGGTTGTCCTCCTGGTTTACCTCTTATAGAAGCTGATATTCAAAAACAATTGAGTAGAAGAAGGCCAGGTCAGAGTAATTTGACGACACCTGTAAGAATTAAAAAAAAAATTACTTTTAAAAAATTTTCATTGATTTTAAAAGTTATTAAATTTATATACCTTTGTGTGTGTGTATGTGTGTGTGTAGCGAGATGAAAAAGATTTGGTTGTTATACAATCAGGAACTGAATTTGGTATAACACTTGGAACACCAATTGGTTTACTGGTACCAAATCAAGATCAACGGCCTCATGATTATTCAGAAACTGATTTATATCCAAGGCCAAGTCATGCTGATTGGACCTACTTACAAAAATATGGTGTAAAGGCTAGTAGTGGTGGTGGTAGAGCATCAGCAAGAGAAACAATAGGTAAAAAGACATAACAAATAGATAAATTAATAAAAATCAATTTAATAAGTTTAATAATTAACTGTTGATTAGGAAGAGTGGCAGCAGGAGCTATTGCAGAGAAATATCTTAAAATGGTTTATAATATAGATATTGTAGCATTTGTTTCTTCAGTCTCAAATATAAAAATGCCTTTTATCAAAGAAATAGGCTATCATAATAATGATGATCAATTATATTCACAAGATTTTTGGATATGTTAAACAGCATTTCTAGAGATGGTGTTGGTAAAAATATAGTTCAATGTCCTGATAAGGAAATTTCAGTAAGAATGACTCAGGTTTAAAAATAAAATTTAATAAATATTTATGCTTTATAAACTCTACAATTTTATAATATAGTAAATTCAAAAAAATTTATTTATTTTAGTGTATAATTAAAGCAAAAAAATCTAATGATTCTGTTGGTGGAACTGTAACATGTGTTATTCGTAATGTACCATCAGGATTGGGTGAACCATGTTTTGATAAGTTAGAAGCTAAATTAGCACATGCAATGTTTTCAATCCCTCTACCAAAGGATTTGAGATTGGAAGTGGCTTCCAAGGTACAACTTTGTATGGTCATCAACATAATGATCTTTGGATTAAAAAGATAATAATGTATTTGGAACTAAAACTAACCATTCTGGTGGAATTCAAGTAAATAACTTTTTCATTATCATTCAAAAGATTTAAAGATTATGATTAGAATAATTTGATGTTTGTTACCGCCCAGATTAAAAAATGTTAATGATAATAGGGAGAATCAATCACAAACGGTGAAAATATTTATTTTAGAGTTGCAATTAAACCATCAGCAACCATTTCTCAAGAATAAAAAACTGCTACATATGATGGTGTTGATAGAATTCTTGTTGCAAGAGGCCATCATGATCCTTGTGTTGTACCACGTGCTGTCCCAATTGTTGAGGCAGTGGCTTGCTTTAGTTGTTATGGAGTAAGTTATGAAAAAATATGAATTAATTTTATATTTATATTTATTTATATTTAATATAAATTATTTTCAAATATCTTCATTTAGTGCACTAATGATTCAACAATCACGTAAAACTGCTGCATCATTACTTCCACAAATACTTAATATACCTGTTACAATGTTAGGTGTTGTTCCAATAAAATCATATAATGAAACAACAGAAAATAAAGACTCATAGTTTAATTTTTTAAAAAATAAATTTTATAATACTATTATCAAAACAACAAACAAATAAATGGATAATAAATTAATTGTATTAACATCATGAAATAGTTGATTCTTTTATAATTGGCCTCAGTATATGTATAACAACGCCGCAATTTTTTTGTGAAACATCAAAAAAATAACTTTTTTATTTTACTTTTTTTTAACGCAAATTCAAAATGTAAGATTTTTTTTTTTAGAATTTTAATAATTTAATTTTTTTGTTCAAATCATCACAATTAATAATAGAATAATTCTAAATTATATAATACAAGAGAGAGGAGAAAAATAGAAATATGACAGATTTTCCAGAAATATCTTCAACCCTTTCATCGTCAACATTGACATCAAATTCGGCGTCAGTAGATTTATTAGATCCAGCAGCCGATTTTTTAGCAAGAGAACAAGCAATTTTAGGTGAAGATGCGGCTTTGTTTTCTAATAATAATAATAATAATAACAATGGCATAACCTCAATAACTCCAACATCGGTTACTAATGACGAGTTCGATGATTTTTCAACAAACAATAGTAATATCATTAGTAATAATAATATTATTAGTATTAGCAGCAGCAGTAGTAATGGTAGTAGTAATGTATACAACACAACTAATTCAACCAGTGCTATTGATTACTCGGCTTTTAATGATGAATTTCCACCATTGGAAAATAGCGATCTTAATAACAATGTAAGTGTGTATAAATAAATAAATAATTAAAAGCAATATCAGGATAATTAAAATAATGATGTTTTTATTTATAGATTATTAATGGTGGTTCATCATTTGAAGAAGAAGAAACAGAATTTATCAAGTAAATATCTATTCATTTATTTTCACTACTCTTCAAAAAGTGATTTAAAATTAAATCTTATGATAATTACTAATTGCGTTGCATTCATTTAATTATCGAAAGACATTGGAGAGAGGAACAAAGAGAAGTTATCGCTAGGCGTGATGAAGAATCTGAAGAAAAAAAACAAGAAACTATTAATAAAGCACGTGAAGATATTGATAAATTTTATGATGAATATAATGAAAAAAAAGCCCGTTCGCATGAAGAAAATAAGTAAGAAGAACTTATTTTGTCGTTATGATTATTATTATTATTAGTAATATTATTGATACCATTTGATATAATATTAGCAATTATATAATATTAACATTTATAAAAAATTTTTTTTTGTTAATTGATTGATTAATTAGAAAAAATGAGGAGCAATTTTTTAAAGAAAGAGATGACATTACTTCAGGAACTGCTTGGGGACGTATTTGTAAACAAGTTGATCTTTCAACTGCACAAAGTAAGAGTGGAAGTAAACATGTTAAAGATGTATCCAGATTCAAGGAATTACTTTTAAGTTTAAAGAGAGATGAAAATGCTCCTGGGTCAGGTGGTTACTAAATAGGTTTATTATTATTATTATTATTATTATTATTATTATTAGTATTATTATTAATATCATGAGTAATCAATCGTATAGTGTTATATTATTATTATGTTATATTATATATATTGCGATTAAATGGTTTTATATTTAAATCTTTTTTTTACAAAAATAAAAATCAAAAGAAAAAAAAATATAATGTAAAATCCAAGACTGTATTTTTGCAAAAAAAAATAATTTTATATTTTCTGAAATGAATTAGGATTAATATATACGAAAATAACGATATATATATATATATATATACACACATGTATCTAGTAGTTATAACTTTACAAATTATTCGTCTATTATGACACCACAGAAGAAATTTTGTTTGATTTTTATCAGAACTGAATTATTTTATTATGTGTGTTACTGTGCGTATTTTTCAGTCATCATGTAAAATAATTCATAAAATAGAACTTTATATTAAAAAAAAGACAAGCTATTCAAGAAATATAAAAGGTAATATTGCGTTATAAGGTAATATTGATATAATGAATCTTTGGTCTTTACAACATCATCACAATAGTAATAAGCTGTCATTTTAATGTCAAAAAAATTTTATTAAGTAAATTTTTGGGAAAATATGACAATTGAAAAGATTTTGATTTTGAAATTGAATTGTTTATTGTCTATGTGGAATCAAATCAAATATTGCTATTATATCTATATTATTGTGTTATATTAGTACTATTATATTACTACTATTATATTATTACTATTATATTACTACTATTATATTATTGTATTAATTATATTAATTATAAGAAATCTATAAAATAAAATTGATATATTACAATTAATAATGCTATTATTATCATCATCATATAACCATTAATTAATCCATTATTTACCAATGATTACAACAATGATTTATTCTAATTAACTAATCCATGTTTCTTTTTCTTCTTCTCCTGGGAATGATTTGAAAAACTTCGTATTCGTCAACAGAAAAATGGATATCATCAGAATTGGCTCTAATTGGAAGTTCGTAATCACCATGTTGACAACAACACCTTGACTCGTTTTTGAAATTTCCTGTCATTTTTAAATCACCGGTTCCAAATGACGGACCATAATTATTATAATAGTTGATGGCTCTTGATGGATCCTTGACTCTACTGATGATGGATTTATCGAGATCCTTGTCATCTAAACAAAATATAAAACTTTCTTTACAGTAGCCCCAAGTATTTTGTGACAACCAATCAATAGGCGTATATCCACCATACAATTCGCTTGATCCATTCACTTTCATTATAGTGATAGTGGCACCCTTGGAATCACATTTGGAATGAAAATCCAATCCGGTGAATCCATCTCTTGAGCCTCTTAACAACAACTTAAATTCATATGGGTTTTCCCAAGGTTCATAAAATGATGATTGATAATTAGGATTGTTATTGATATTAACACGTTTCTTATTATTATATTTATTGACTAAATCTTTTTTATCTATCCAACTTGCTATCATAGCAACTTGTTTTCTTTCTATTATTACAGAATTAAAATTACTTCTTTTTGGTTGCATCAATTCTAAAGAAGGTTGATGATTTGGCACAAGATAATACTGTAGAAGATCTTCGTACAATTCAATTGGCAATATTCTAGCAAAAGGTTTAACTTTCTTGTAGAAATCACCACTTGAAATGTGTAGAAACCTGATTAGCGGAATGAAATTTTCTAATTTCTCGCTTAACAGCTCCCATTCTTTATAAGTCCATTGCGTTAGATCAAAAGTCTTTATACCGGATGTTGATGCACCCCATTTAACCAAATGATCCCATAAAATTATTTCTTCTTTACCTAAATCATCTCTCATCAATAACTTTATCAGTGCTTGTTCCTCCAATGTTGAGAAATCTTCTGAATGGAACACTAGTTCTGGATCATTTCTAATTATCTCGTTACAATAATTTTTCAATTTGTAGAACGAATCGCCGTGAATGTGTATTAATTTGTAAGTTGTGGAAAAATTACGTTGAATCCATCCAGTTTTATAACATAGTAAATAATCCTGTACAAAATCAATAAGTTCCTGAATACATAATTCATCAGCCGCTCTTAATAAATCGAGTAATACAGGTGTATCATAATCATCAAGGCTCAATGAACCTGTATATATAAACCTTTGAGATATTTGAAAGTTAGTTGATGGAAAAAATATTTATAATTAAAAATTAAAATTAATAATTGTCGAAAGAAAAATTACTTTAAAACCAATTCAAAAACTATTGGACTGATATTTGGTTTGTTAAAAACGATAATGTTATTTTCGGTTTTGGTCCATTCGCTTAATAAAGCAGCTCGGAAATACGGTGACCTGACTCTTAGAATCATCGAGTGTGCACGGAATGTTTTAAAATCAGGCTCCTGCCCAACATTTATTATCATGTTATAATCTTGAACATCATCTTCCAAAAGCAATGACAAGTCTTTTGAAAGGCTTGATAAAAATTCACAAGACATTAATGTTGAAGAGTAATAACTACTGCTGCTATTTGAAGAGTATGATGATTTGAGTGAAGAGGATGAGGTTTTTGTTAAAATGGAAGTTGAGGAGGTTGAAGTTCCTATCATTATAGGAGCTGAATATGTCATGTTCATTGTTTTTTTTTTAATAATTGATATATATATATATATATATATATATATATATATAATATATAATATAATTTATTTATACTGCTATTGATAATTTTTTTTATTTTTTAAAAAAAAAAAAAAATTTCGGAATTTAGTAATCGAAAATGTGGTTTGTTTTATTTTATTTTATTTTATACTAATAGTATAAATGATGAACACTATGAAAAAAGCAAACTTGAACGTGTTTCAATGAAAAAATTTTGTCAAAAGAAAAATTTTTAGTCTCCGATATTTATATTTGTTTTGTTCGATTTATGGTAAAACGAATTGTTATTACATAATAAAAGTCTTTTTTAAAAATAAAAAAGCCGGAGAAGGAAATAAAATAATTGAGAAAATAAAAAAAAGTAAAACTACTTATAAATCATGATGTATATTTATATGCATGATGAAGATTGGTTCGATCATTCGTATTATTACCATTATTAATTAATACGTATTATGTAAATGATAACTAAAAATGGTGTTGTGTGAATTATTAATTTCACACATTTTAATTTTTTAATATTTTTTATTTGTCATACGAGGATTTGCAGGGTCTCACAAAAACTTTGCTTGCTTGCTTGCTTAACATTAACGAAAGAACGAACGAACAAACGAACGAACAAATAGACGAACGAACGGACGAATCTAAAAACGAATAATGTTTTCTTTTTAGTGGAGGAATGAATGAGCGCAAAGGGTGAATGAGAGATGATGAAAGACGTGAAAACTTGAGGATTTCCTTTTTCTCACGCTATATTCCCATTCAATATAAAATATGTGAAGTTCATATATAGTTATGCACGTAAATATAATTGGCTTAATCTTAATTATAATATTAAAATAGATTAGCTTGTTTGACAAAAAAACAAAGTATCGAATCTTTCGAATCTTCTTCTTATACTAGTTTAATTAATCAAATGACATAATTGTGACGAAGCACGAGTGCTCGTTTTTTTTAAGGCCAGTTATTTGTTTACACCCTTTCAGATTGTTTGATTGTTTTCACATGATAAACAACGCTGATCTACATTTTTTTAATTATTCACGTAAATTAATTAATTTTAGAAGATTAATTGAGAGTTTTGGTTGGCCAAAATTCTCGTCGATCAGTGGCTATAAAGCTGATTCCAAAAAAAAAATTTTTTAATTTACCATGGATTCAGTGTTAGAAAGTGCTCGTTTTATTAGCGAAGTAACTAAATATATTTGATGGCTTTTCAAAAAAGTTGTTTTTAATGTTACTTATTTTGAATCTGTCCTTTTCCAGAATAGTAAAGATGTTAGTATTCCAGATGATGGAATTCAAAAAGCTGCAAATATTGTAAGCATGATTTTTTTCAATTGATCAATTAATCAAACTTTTTTTAAAAAAAAGAAGATTAATTATTATTTTTATTTATATTTATCAGATATATGAAAATATGAAAAAAACAAAATATTCAATTTCTTCTTGGAAAAAAAATGAACTTCATCCCAGTATTGCAGATAACAAAGCCATAGATTGGTTGGTAAAAAAGATTTTCTTCCTTCCTTCACATCTTCTTACCAAAAATAAATTATCTTCTTTTCTTTTATATGCAAGGATTTTTATGGTAGATCTTTTAAACTTTTCATTTTGGTCAGAACTTGATAAAGAAATTCAAAGTAACCCAAGTAGTGAAAGATTTTCTATTGAATATAACAATAATAGATATACTGGCTATTGGTCTTTATGTGCTGCAATAAATCGAGGTATATGTGTGTGTGTGCATTGGAATTGATTAGTAATTTTAATTAAAGATTAATCATCATCATTATAATAAACATAAAAAGCTTTGGAGGACGAGATTCCAATAACAACTCCATCATTTTACATGTCTGAGAAAAAGTTAACAGATAATGGTATTCGGCACATATTTCGTTCAGCCACAAAAGAAGAGATGCCTTTGCTTGATGAACGTATTCATAGTATTCGTGAAGCTGGCAAAGTTTTAGTTGAGGTAGTTTATTTTTTTTTTTCAGTAAATTTTTTCAATTGTTAAATTAAAATGTATTTTCATATCTTACTTTACATTGAAGAAATTTGGTGGTAGTTTTGTCAATTGTATTACACGAGCCAATAAATCTGCAGCGAATTTATTAAAAATCATTACAGAAAACTTCAATTCTTTTCGTGATGAAAGCAATTTTCAAGGGCGTAAAGGTATCTATCTTCTTTACCTTTTTCTTTATTTCTTTATCCTTTATTCATATGACATTATTTAAAAAAAATTTAAAACAGTCTTCTTTTATAAACGTGCACAAATCTTAATTGCTGATATATGGTAATATAAATATCAATATTTAATTATTTGACAATTATTAAATATCAATCCATATAAATAATATAAATACCTAAAGGGCTTGCTTTGAAGGAAAGGAACTTGGAGAATTCCATGATATTGATAAAATTACAATGTTTGCAGATTACAGGCACTACTATTTCTTATTAACATTGAAACTAATATTAATATCATTATCATTATATTAATTTTTTTGATTTTTATATTATTTTAGAGTTCCACAGGTTGAGCAGTTCTTGAAAATTTCAATGAAAATCAAATCAAATATTATTTATTTGACCTTTTCTATTTCCCATGAATTAATTAATTGTTTACAATTTTTATCAGGCGCTTTACCATTTAGGTGCATTATCTTATTCGCCAAGTCTTCTTAATCTCCTTGAATCATTCACACTAATCCCTCATGATTCTCGTCCTGAAATTGAAATTAGAGGTAAAAAATAAAAAATCAATCAATTAATTAATTTGTTGCAATAATAATATTTTTTTATTATTTATTTATAATAATAATAATAATAATAATAATAATAGGTTGTTCTATATGGTCGGTTGAACTAATACTTCGTACAATTAATGAGAAAATTAAAAAAGATAATGATGGCGATAACGGTAGTAGTAGTAATAGTTCTTCTTCCTCAGGTGGTATAAATGCAATTATTTTGGATTACTTTATATGGGATTTTGCTAGTCAAAATAAACATAAATTAAGTGTAAGAGCACATAGAACAAGATCTATTTTTTATTAAATTACGTTTTATTTATTATTCACATTTACTTTTATCGATTTACAACATTTACATCTCTTTTATAATAATATTTAAATGATCAGTATAGATTTAATATTAAATTAATTTTGTAATAAAAAATTCTCTGGACATAATCTCCATATTTGGTTAGCGTTTGCCTTTGTGCCGAAAAATCTGTCTTGTAGTTTTTGTTACACGATTCCGCCACAATAACCCCCAAATTCTATCAAAATGGGTATATATTAGTATGGTTTCTAAGCCTCACAAATAAGATACATGTAAGAATGTTCTTAATGATGATGACTCGGGGCATGGACAATAGAAAGGGGTTAACGTCAAAAGATCATAATTTTGAGTTAATACTAATACCATATATATAAACTTGTCACAAGAACAATTTTAGCTTAGAAACTATGCCCACTTAATAAACTTTTGAGAAAAAATAGTAAACAAATCATTCATCAAAAAAATTAAATTTTAGCTTAGTAACCATGTCAACTTGATAAAATTTCTAGTTTCTAAGCTAAAATTGTTCTTGTGACAAGTTTATATATATGGTATTTAACTCAAATTTATGATTTTTGAAATTAACCCCCTTTCTATTGTCCATGCCCCATTTATAATTTTTACGTTAAAGCTTTTCAAATCAATCATCCACTAAAAAAACCCCGTATCTTTTATTGAAAGTTTTTCATTAAGATAGAGTTAACGAAGAAGTGAAATAAATATCTTATTAAACTTGTTCTAGATTATAAATATGTACCTTGTGATTTCTTTGAATGTTTTTCCTCCCCAACTTCTTTGAGTGTCCATAACTTTTGAGCAACATCCTTTGCTTTCTCCTTCTCCTTTAATGAATTTTCTAGGTAGTGTGCATAAGGGATAATATATAATATCTTTTTTCGCTAGCTCCCTCCCTTCATTTGAGCCAGAAGCCGAACAAGGTAATTCCGTTTACGTCCATCTCTTGGCTTATATATTAATGGAACTGGAACTTTTACCTTGAAACTCGTGGCATTTCACTCTTCGATACAAAAAATTATTATTATCAACAGAAAATCTGCGGAATACACATAGGGATGTTAATCGGTCCTTTTGGGGCCGGTCTCATTATATGATTGCTAGTCCCAGGACCAGACCGGACAGTTAAGGACCGATCAACATCTCTAATTTCTCTGAAAAATGATGGGTTTGGGGTATCATCACTACAACAAATTATTTGACAACTTCATAATGGTAAATAATTAAGAAATGTCTCAAGATTATGCCTTGGTACTGTGCATGCCTCATCCAAAATAATTACACGCGGAATGAAATTTTTCATGTGTTACACGTCAGTATGTGGTGGATTTTTGACTTTAAAATACTAATACTTAAATTGGCATATTACACAACAAATTTTTTAATTTATTATGTAAAACAATACATCTCCTTTTTTAGAAAGATAATCACGTTTTCTACTAAATAGTCGACCATAGGTTTTTTAAGACAATATTTATTTACACTAATCTTTATATAAGTTGTTCGGAAGATTGTGGCATCAATCTTTTTATGCACACAAAATATAATAATAATAAAAAACATGAATGCATTGTAAAAAAGGAATGTTTCTTCTTCTTTTCCACGAACAATAAATTTGTATTTTTAAAGTCATGTCATTAATTGCATCATCTATTATCTCATTTGATAATCTATGATACAAAAAAGAAACATTTTCTCTGAGATAATAAATGATGATATAACTAGCAAGATAATAAAATATAAATATATTTGTTTACGATTAACGTTTTTTCTAGGATAACAATAATAGATACAACCAGTGATGTAACCAACAAAGATAATAAATAAAAATAAAAATTTATTATTCATAATAGATAATATGATATAATTTTTTACGTCAGATTACAAAATTTTGAATATTATACGTTACTATTACTAAAAATAGTAATGATGGCCTCTCACCCAATGTAAATATCACGTGAGAACGACTTATCGAGAGTACTTTTACATATATTAATATCCTAGAAGAAGGGTTGACCGACTTACAGCTTATCGCGATTTTATATAGATTTGACCGACTTATCAAGAGATTTTAAATATTTGGCCGAGTTAGGCCAAATCCGGCTTATCAAGAGACAACTTATCGAGTTTACCTGTGCATCATTATTTACAACTTTTAAAGCTAAAACAAGTGTTTTCAACGTAATAGTAAACGTGACGAGTATCAAGAAAAGTTGGCTTATGTAACATCCATTTCCTATCCTCATTCTGAATTCAAATCAAAAAAATTCTAATGATATGATATAAA